TGACAAGGCACTTCGTGGGCTGTGGAGAGGAGAGGGGAATTAGCTGGGGGCATGGGAACAGCTTAGACTTAAAGGAGAGAGGTGGCAGGAGCAGGGTGTGTGCTGAGTGAGGTCTGAATGGGTCGGGGGGGCGGGCTGGTGTAGAGGCAGTGTCCTTGCAGACCCCTCCCCACCAGCAAAGTCAAGTCCAGGAGGGAAAGAAGGAAACTTACAAATTGAATCAGTGGGCAAGGAAGAGCAGGTGAGTAAGCAATCTCACCTGGAGGTTAGCACGGCCCCACCTTATCCCTACCAACCAGCTAGACAGGAAGCGTCATTTGGTGACCCAGCTTCCTCCTTGACGAAGAACAGAGGCTCAGTCCCCTGCTTCTTGAAGTCTGCTATTCCTTGAGGCTTGAACATCCTTGTGGCCAGTGATCCTGTCAGCCCAGCCTTCCCTATTTTCCCTGTGACCCCCCACCCAAACAACTCCTTGGTTTTCCTGTGTTAGACCAGAGTTTGTGTGCTGAGCCCAACAGCTGGCCGATAGATTCTGGCTGCTATGCCCGCTCACAGCATGCATGATGCCAACATGGATGGAGCCTGAACATGCCATTTTTCTCTTGAGCACTATAATTTGGGCATTTCTAGGACAAATTACTTCTTTAAACCCCCATTTCCTCATCTGGAAACAGGGGCAGTAGTGTCCTAGCTCACAGGGTTGTTGTGAGAACCACATGTATTAACACGTGGAAAGTGCTTCGCAGAATGTTCCATGTAATTAATATTAGCTCAAATAGGTTCTCACATTATCATTATTAGCTAACCCTTTGTGGGGAAAGCTCTACACTGAGCCCAGTTCTCCTTGGCTGGCCTCGCCCTGTTCTGCCTCCCTCCCCAACATCTGCACTGGGTCCTTTTCCATCCCTCCCAGCCACCTGACACACGTACACGACCCCGCGTGCCTTGGGGTCATGCCCATTTCAGATTTGATCTGGATCTGCTGAGAAACTCAGCTCCTCTAACCGCCCGCTATCGACAGCGCCTTCTGGCCGTCACTGGTCAGCCCCCATCAGTGCCGGAGACCACAGAGGCCTGGAGCTCAGGGTTCCCGGGCGCATTTGTTCACTGAGAGTGGAGCCTGTGTGCTTCTAAGTTAAAGAGTCGGATACTAGATGGTGTAAGAAAGGGAAGGAGGGGAGGAGAGATGAATCAGGTAACAAATAACCCTCTAAGTCCAGTGACTTCAACAAAACTTTTCTTCTTGCACATGCTGTGTCTGTCAGAGGTCAGCAAGGAAGTTGTACTCCTTGTGATTACTTGGAGATTGAAAGTGACAGAAGCTCCATCTTGACTCATGTCTCCAAGATCCCAAAGGCAGAGAAGATAGGATGGCAAAGCACTCAGTGGCTCCTAAAGCTTCCCCTGGAAGTGACTCATGTCACTTCTGCTCATATTTCATTGGCTGAGGCAGATCCTCTGGACAAGCCTGACTTCAAGGGCTATGAGGGAAACCCCTCCCCCAGGGAGGGCCTGGAGCTCCAAATATACAGTCTCCTGCTGGGAAGCGCACACCTCAGGGACCCTCCCAGCCAACCCAACCCTCCCAGGGCAGCCAGCCCCCGACTCCCCCTCCAAGGGGCCTGGCGGGGCCTTTCCTCCTCTGAGACACAACTGCGCATTTCCCTTGACATGAACACAAGGCATATTTGCAAAGCTGAATGTGCTCATGTGCATGTATGTTTCTAATTAAGACCTATTGCACAAAGCCATCAGATTTGCTCAGATTGGCCCAGGATTCAGAAAAAGCTGAGGTTTTTCAAAACTCCTCAACCAATGGGGAAAGCATGAAATATTGAAAGGACAGAAAAAGAGACCCAGGGAGGAAAGGCTGCTCCATTATTCATCAGGCCCGGAGTCCCCAGGTCCCCAAGCACAGCTGCCGGCTTTGACACCTACAGCATTTTCCCATTTATGCCAACAGCAAACGTTTCAAACATGCCGTATTGACAGCCTCCAAGCAAGGCTCTCGCCCACGCCATCCACTGCCTGTCTCATTATCTGAACCAGTCCACAGCCCAACTGGGGGCTCAGGATGCTGGTGTTTAAGGCGCCCACCTGCCTTCCCTTCCTGGGAGTGTCTGCTTGCAGGCCTCCAGGCCCAAGGCCCAAACTCCCTAAAAGAACCTGAAGGCCTTTTATTCTGGCCCAAATGGCCCCAAATAGTCCTGTCAGCTTTATCTCCCTCCACCCCTCCACCCCAAATACTCCAGACTATTTGCCTTTCCCCGAATGCAGTGTCATGTTTTCAGACCTTCACCCAGGCCAGCCCCTCTGCCTCGCCTCCCTGTCTACCCGATGAACTGCTTTTTTTTAAGACCAGATCAGAAGAAGGAGAAACTAGCTTCTTATGAGAGCCCATGTGTTAGATGTTTTTGGCAAACATTATCTCAGTGAGGCGTCACCATAACCCGGGAAGGTGGGTGTCTTCACCAGCACCAGCTGCAGAACCTGTGGGGTCCACTGCAAAATGGAGACACTGCTCCCTGTTCAAAAACAATTAAGACTTCTAAGATGGCAAAAACATCATGAAGCCAAGCATTTCTAAGAGCAGGGCTGTGTGTCCATGCAAGCCACATGCCCATGAAGTTAGCCCTGGTTATTGAGAAGTAAACTGAAACTCAGAGAGATCAAGTAACTTGTCCAAGTTCACACAGCTATTTGGGGACAGAATCAGTCTAAGGACCACATTCCAGCTAATCCAAATCCCTCTTCTCTCAACCACCCACCTCAAGAAGCCTCCCCACTTGCCTCAGGCAAAATAACTGGGAAGGAGGCTGTGAGCACCCAGAAACTGATATTCCTTTTAAAGGGTGCTTCTCTAGGCAATGGGTCTGTTACTTCGCCATGGACATTGCAAGATGACCTGGAGAACAGTGTCACACAGAACAAAGAGTGGACTGATCTGGGGAGCAAGCGGGCATTCTAACACCCCTCAGTCAGCCCACAAGGGAGGACACCCACTCCTCCAGCCACCCCTTCCCTCATATCCTCAGACTTGCTTACACCACCCCCACCCCCACTCCCCCACCCTTCATTTGCCTAAGAACATGGCAGTTGCCCAGCAGCAGTGAGCTGTAGGACAGGGATCCCAGGCAGCATCTCTGGCCTCTGCTGGGAATATAAAATGCAGATCTTAAGAAAGGCACATCTCCTGGCTGCTCTGCCCATTTTTCATCTTTTCATATAACTGATCCAGCTCTACCAGTGGCTTTGTTTGGTGGTTTCCCCTTAACAGCTTCAGTCTTAGGGAAATGCATCCTACTTACATTCATGCAATCAACAAATATTAACTGTGCACCTACTATGTGTCAGGCCTTCTACCTTCAAGGAGCTCACCAGCACAACCGGTGAGACTCTGACGGTAAACTCACCATTGCTCAATGGGTGAGAACTAGACAAGAGGCTCCTGGATCCAGATGAGGGAAAGAGAAATTATTGGGTTAGAGGGAGCAAACTAGTAAGGTCTTGAAGGATCTGTAAGAGTTTTCCAAGTGGAGAAGAGGGCAAGCCAAGTAGAAGAAACTAGTACATTTGGAAGAGTGTGGGGGTGATGGAGGTTGAGAGATTGAGAGATGTGGGAATCCATCCCAGTTGGGAGATGTGGACGCCTGTCAATGGGGTAGAAGTCCTCACCATCAGGGACTTCTGGGGGGTGGGGAGGAGCACTCCTGGGGAAGGTGGGAGAAGATAGGGAAGCATGGGAATAGAAATCTGGTGTATCCTTTCCAAAACCTTCAATTGTCCCAACCCCACTTCTTCAGTCTGTCCCATTCACATGTGACAATGTTCTCCCATGACGTCCAGGTCAGGAGATCTCCACAGCATAGAGACTTCTGTCCAGGCTGCTGCCGTACAGGTTTCAACGAATATGCTCATTGCTGATGTCTTCTGATCGACAATCTGCTATTGCCCCCAAACAAATACATACTCCATGTCTTTGACCACTTCATGGTCTGTAGGGATTTTAGTGACCCTCTAAGGGAAGCTCCTCATGGTCTGACTGGCCAAGCTTACATCCTAGAGACTCAAGCTTTGCAGGGCAGCCTTCCTGCGTATAGCAGAGGGCAGAAGTTGCCGGTCTGTGAGCAAGCCACACAGCAAATTGGACAAGGGTTTCGGTCAGGCTGCCATTAAAGAGAAATGAGGAATGGCAGGTATTCAGGCCAGGAAAGGTTATCCCTTAGGTTCCACCATCCAACCCGACTGGACAGGCCATCCTCGCTCCAGCTGCAGCTTTCAAATTAGTCATCGATTAATAATATTTACTAAGCACCTATTGGGTGTCCAGGGCCCAGAGAATAAAGAAGACATACAGACTGAAGAAAGAAGAAAAAATTTAAAGTGGTTGCTATCATGTACATATATTTACATTTTATAGTTGAGAGGGACAATTTTCTTAATGCAGCCCAGAAGAAAGCATGATGAGGCTTTAAAAGAACAGGTCCTGGAACCAGACAGACCTGGGTGGCAATGCTGGCTCTGCCATTTTCCAGCTGTGTGTCCTCAGGCACCTCACTTCATGTCTCTGAGCCTCAGTTTTCTCACTGTGAAATGGGATTGTTTTGAGGATTAAATGACTTCACACATGCAAAACGCTTTGAGAAGTACATAGCGCACAGTGAGTGATCAATAAATACTAGCTGGCCTATTGCTTATTGTTTTCTTATTGTTCTTAATTTTTGTTATTAAGCAGCAGTTGGAATGTGAGGCTAAGTCTGACCCATCGCGGGGGTCACAACCAGATCTCACGCGACCCCCGAAAGCCTTTCCTCCCTTAGCCTAGCAGCTAAGTCTCCACCTGCGGACGCCACGCAGGTGCTTCCCCAGACGCCCCGCACCTCCCGGGTGAGCCCAGCGTCCGCAGGGTCCCGACGCCCGCCGGTAGCCCGCCGCGCCGAGACGGGGAGGCCCCGCCCGCGGCCCCGCCCCGCCTCCCCCTCCCCTTCCGAGTCCGCAGCTCGGGCGGCGGCGGCGCGGTCGCCGCGCGGAGCCGTTCGGCCGGACACGTCGGGGCGGGCGCGCGGGGAGCTCGCGCGGCATCCGCAGCCCGGAGCTGGGCCGGCGAGGGACGTTCAGCGGGGCCGGGGTCGGGGCCGCGCCGCGGCAGCGAGGTAAGGGCGGCCGACCGGGAGGGCCGGTTCTCCCAGCCCGGGGCGCGTGGGGCCGCCTCCCGCCCGAGCCGCGGCCACGCGCCCAGCACCGCGCAGCCGGGGGCCGGGCGGAGGGGCCGCGCGCTGGGAGTTGGGTGCGTGTGTGCGTGTCGGGGATGCAGGGAGGGCATAATGCCCCTCTCTGCCGACGCTGCCGGGCAGTTCCCGCTGCCCTCTCCAAAGCGGAGGGCGGACCCCCACCACGGACTTGAATACGGCTGGCAGAGATTATCCGGGTAACGCGGGAGGGAAAGCCCGCCGCCACCTGTTGAACCGTCTAAGCGGGTCGCGAGTGGAAATCCCCGCGTACACAGCCTGCAGGATGGCCTCACTTCCCCAGCGCCCGAACACCCGTCCGCCTGGCCCGGGACTTCTCCCTCCGGCCGCCGGAATGGCGAGGATGTCCGGGTCTCGCTGGGTGGGTAGGAGGACGTGTCCCTGCCATAGGCCAGGGAGCAGAGGGGCTCTCCCCGGGCAAATGCGAGGCCCGTAGACAGATGCTGAGTGTGAGATACCAACACCCCAGGCACACGCCAAGATTTTCCCTCGTTACTCCAAAGTCGCCCACGTCCACCCTTTTAATTACTTGATCTGTCTCTCTGCCCTCATCCTAATTGGGCAATTGATGAAGATGCATTTGTTAAAAATTTTAAAGTGAAGTGAAATGACCACTTCCTGGGACCAAAAGGGACTTAGGTAAAATGCCAGGAACCTGGCAGGGGAGGAAGGAGGCTCCTGTTCCGAGCCCCTGGATCGTGGACTGGGTGCTGGCCCACCGTGGGGCTCACCGCCTCCTGCTCTCATCTGCCCCCTGGAACCTGCCAGGCACTTTGCTACCCCCCTTTCACAGTTACGGAAGCTCTGTTCAGGGGAGAGAAGGGATTCACCCTCTGGTTTATCAGAGACCAGGTGAGAGCGGGACAGGACAGTTTTCCCAAGTGGGAGCCTCTCTTAGGCTGACAGATGTCACACTCCAGCTGTCACCAGCACCGGCTCCTGCCCCCCGCGCCAGCCCAGGGAGCACAGGTTGGACCTCTTGCCCAGCCACCTCAGGCCTACTGCCCCACCTCCACAGACCCTGGGTCCTGATGAATTAACAGCCCAGGCTGCACTGGCGGTTGGTGTAGGGGGACTCTGGCCTAGATCGGAAGCCCTGGACCCTCAGGACCACAGGCATCTTGGGGACAGACTGGTTGTACCCCTCTGCTGTCATCACAGCCAGCCCCCACTCCCAGAGTCTCCTGCCTGCCTGCGAAGCCCCAGCTCTGCTTCATTTCTCTGAGAACATGGCAGCTGCTTATACCGGGGCCGTCCCATCTCGGGGCCACGTCTCCAGGGTGCTGCCAAAGGGGGCAATTTGTAGCTGCACCTGAACCGTGCCCAGCCCAAACTTCTGCCTCCCCTCATATGTGGAAGGCAGCCCGTGCCTCGAGGGGCAGGGTGGACCCAGGGCTGCCCGGTCTCCTGGGCTGGGGGGCCACACCAGCAATAGGCTTGTGAGGGCTCTGCCAGTCTCTCACTGTGATAGGGGCTCTCTGACTTGGGGTGGGGAAGGGGAATGCAGGGGGGGAGGTTGGCCAAGCTGTTCACAGTGGGCTAGAGGAGGCAGGTCCTATGTCATGATGGAAAAAAATCCACAGCCAGCTCGGTCACTGGCTATGTGATGTTGGTCAAGTCACAGAAATCACTTGGAGAATCAGTTTCCTCATCCATGGAACTGGGTGGGGAGGGTGGTGTGTAAAGCAAGGACAGATGTCAGTGTCGGCTCACTGGAGGTGTTCAGGGCTCCTGTCCACTTCCTCTAGCCCCCAGCCTGACTTTCAGACACTGGGCCTGAGGGAGGCGACTGTGAAACTAGGATCCCTCATGCCATCCTCTAAGCTGGGAGGAGTGGTGTGAGTTTTCTATCAGGATAGCTCACAGATATCTGAGCTCAGAGTCTCAGAAAATGAGGATGCAAGAGGAACCCAGTTTCCATCAAGCTCTACCTCTGGGGGAGCTGGCACTTCTGCTTCAGGCTTCTAGCCATTGGTGCCCTGGGCCTGCCCCGCACAGCCTCCTGGCTCATTCCCAGGTGGCACTGGGCATGCTTCTGCTCTTTGATTCCGTCCTGGGTTTGGGGTCGGCTTTCCTCCCTGGCAGATCAGGGAGAATCAGGGCCAGCTGCATGTGACTTCAGGGGCATCAGGAAAACCCCTGCCTGCCCAGTCTCATCCCGTTCCCCCAAAGCTAGCTATCTGCTGCCAATATTCCACCATTAGAGACTCATTCCTTTGTCTTATAGCCTTGTATCCAGTTATGTCAACTACTAAACCTTAGCATCAATAACTTGTTTAGAAGCCTTCAGGACCTGTGTGAGAGACAAAGCGAGAGGGAGAAGAGAGGGAAGGAGAGAGAAGGTGAGGATAGCAGAGAGGGAAGATGGTACTTTGTCTGCCTCAGAGTTCTGCAGAGAAAGGCCCAGCTGTGAGCCCAAAGGGGCATCAGGGGGAAGGAAAGACTGGGGGAGATGGGGCGGGGGCAGGCAGCAAGCAGGGAAAGTTGTGAACCTCAGGTGGGAATTCGTGGTGGGAATGTGGGGTGGGTGGGCTGGCAAGGGAGCAGGTGTCAGAGATTTCCGGTCCTGTGGCTGGGGGGTGGGGCCTCTGCCACCCGCTGGGAGGGGAAGCGGTCTGCTGGGAGGCGATTGCCTTGTCACACTTAGCCACCTTCTGCGTACAACATGGCCTCGTGGTTAATGTGCTCCGTGGGCGGTGTTCTCCTCGGTTGGAAGGCCTGGGCTAGTCGCACTGCCTGTGTAAAACTGTCAGCGGCGATTTGTTAGCCAGGAAAGGGCCTGGGCTGAGCTGGGCCAGGGGAGGATTCAAACCTGTGTCTCTCTGAACATCCTGACACTACTGCCTGTTCTTGAAAGAAGCAGAAACAGCGTAATTCACTCTGATGGGAGTTTCCTGGGTGGCAAGTGGCCTAGGGGTGCAGGGCTCAGCCGGGATCCCCCTGAAAGCTTGTGGAGGTGGTTCCTTGCCTGTTGGGCACATGGTCCTGGGTTTTCCAGTATGAGGGCAGGGTTGGGAGCACACTGGGTGAGAACCGATCGCCCCTGCCTAGGCCGGCTCCTTGCAGGGAGGGCCCACCACATCCCTGGGGCTCTCAGCGCCTGATTCACGGACCACTGGTCCTGGCTCCTGAGGGCCCCACCATGAGCGGTTTGCAGCCCATTCTGGTCGCTGTTGAGGGCAGAGCTCAGACCAGAAAGAAGTCGCAGGTCACCACTATGACCTGTAGGCCATGAACTCTCAAATGACAACCATTCTTTTCTTTTAATGGAGCTGTAAGTGACACATAAGATTATATTAACTCAACAACCGTTCTTTAAGATTATTCTCAATGGTATCTGTTTTTAAATAATAATGATGATGATGACGATGACAGTAGCTCTTCATTCTTCATCGCAGTCATTGAGCACCTACTGTATACCTCCTGCTGCTACTCTAATAGGCATATGACTGTGATGCTATTGGCATATAGGGACAGATTATTCTTTTTGGATGGCTGTCCTATGCACTACAGGATGGTAGTAGCATCCTGGCCTCTCCCCTCTAAATACCAGTGACACCATCCTCCCCTTGTGACAAGCAAAAATGTCTCCAGACATTGCCAAATGTCCCCTAGGGAGCTAAGCTGCCTGCTGCTGGGAACCATTAGGGATACAGCTATGAAAAGAACAGACAAAATCCAGTCCTGTGCCCTTAGGAGCAGGATTCTAAAGAGGGAGGCAAATGTACAGTAGGCAAAAATGCTAGGGAGAAGACAAGACAGGGCCGAAGGGTTAGAGAGTGGGGAGTGGGTGGGGGTTCCCATTTTCAAAGGGGGCTCAGGAAAGGCCTCATTGATGAGGTGACTCTAAGCAGGGGCCGGAAGGAGGGGAGGGAGCAAGATCTGGGGGGAGGGCCTTCCAAGGGCAGCAGGAAGAGAAAGTCAAGGATCAAGGAGGTGTAGCCCAGCTGGCTCTGATGGGCCCACCATGTTAAGGTTAAGATCGTAAGGAGTTCAGCTCCCCCACTCCCACCCCCACCCCCGCTCACCCCGAGGGAAGGAGCGCCAGAGAGCAGTCACTACCTGCTAGGTGCAAACTCCACCTGAAGTGTTCTTCCACGTCTAGTTACAGGAGTCCTGTAAAGTAAATACATTCCCTTACATCATCAAACGATGCAGGAGTTACAACTGGGACATGAACTTGAGGACTCCTCGCTCTATCTTACACTGAAATGTGGATGTCGGGGCCACGCAAAACCGAGTTCAAATCCGAACTCAGTCACTTACTAGCTGTGTGTGGCCATGGACTAGCCACAAAGTCTCTCTGAGCCCCAGTTTTTGCAGGGCTTTGTAGGGAGTGGTGTAGTGTCCTTGGTCCCCTGTGCTGCCTGCGCCCCGTCACTCTCGCCCCCTCCCTCTGACTGTGCTCCCCCCAGCAGGAAGCCAGAGGGCAGGCAACACCCCCCACCATCACCACCTGCCCAGATTTCTCCCAGCTACAGGCTCTTGTTCTGGGCATGTACATGTATTCACTGAGCTGCAGCAATGCCATCTGGCAAGGTCAAGGCCAACATTTGGGTGGGGGCTGCAGTCAAGGGGCATTAAGTGCTCCCTCTCCCCCTCTGAGGGCTGAGGAGGAGGGACCACCTTTTCTAAATCGCCACCTCCCTGGGCCTCCCAGGCCAGGCTCTGCCAAGTTCCTCCAAGGATGCTGGCCCGGCTTCTCCCGGGAGCTCAGCTGAGCTGAAGCTGCAGATCCATCAGGTGGTTGAGCAGAGACTGTGACAGATGCCACAGGTCTGTTACCAAGACTCTATAACCCGAGAACCCTAAGATTCTCTGTCAGTCTCAATTAACCCACTGGCAGTTTTCATTTTTTGAGTGACACTTATCAGAAATAGGTTCCTAATTAAAAATACAGGTTT